GGTACTGGCCATGCGGTTGAATGTTTAAATGTTTAGGCTGGCCTTGTCCAGCCACATTTATTCTTTTGCTTTTCGAGACACCAATCTTGACACTTTGTGTCCTAGCGCCCCGAAACACGTGATGTGGCAACGCGTGTTTCGGGGCGTAAGTGAGTTCAAAGTACGGAACTTGATATAGTGAACGGGCCATTTTGCAATTTATGTGCGTTGGCTGTTGGGCTTGCGTTACATATCTTCGCTACACAGTACTGACGAGCCCCAAGAAGGGCGAAACAGCTGTCCACTGTTGCGATCCTACTTTATCGGTTCTTGTCATGCTGGTGTCTCGAAACGTTTTTCACGTAGTATCAGCCTTGCAGTCTATTGTTTGTCTTCTAATTTAGGGGCTCTTGCTTCAGTTTTTTGCAACACAGATCAGACGGACGCTGCTATGTTGTTGTCATCAATCTTAGGTCTGATTTTCAGGAAGTAAATCTGACTCAGGTGAAAAGAGTGCTGGAGTCTCTAGATGCAAATGAAGCTACCGGCCATGACGGTATCTCCGCCAAAATCCTGAGGGCCGGAGCTGAGGAAACATCTCTATCACTCTCTACAATTCGTCAATGGGTCAATGGCCATGTGACTGGAGAAAAGGGGACTGGACACCTGTCTATAAAAAAGAGGACAAGAACGCCAAGGAGAATTACAGACCTGCCAAGAATTATTTTACTTCAGTTAATGAAATTCATGCCTATAATACGAGACTTGCCTCCAGACAATCCTATTCATTGCCCAAAACCAGAACTAATTTCGGAATCTTCAACATTAGATATCAGGGACCTAAAATTTGGAATTCTCTTGATGAGTCTGACGAAAAATTACTTGATTTTCAACTAAAGAAGAAATTAAAAATACGCTTTATTGATTCATATTAAATATTACAATTATTTTAATTAATTCATAAGGATATATTCTGTTCCGCTGTAAGTTTCCATTCTGTTTGTATCTTTATATTTGTGWGTGTGTGTGTAAGTGTGTTACCGACCGATAACTGTATAAATAATCTATGTAACTTAATGTCTGCCCATTCTTTTTAGTCCTTATGGTTATTTTAGGCAGGCAGTACTCTATACTAATTTAATGTTTATTGTAGTTATTTTACAAATTGTGAGTACAAATAAATGGTTGTTGTTGTTGTTGTTGTTGCTGTCATGTGTAAACAAAGTGTTCGAGCGCTTACTGGGAAATCAGGTGACAACAAAGTACGATGATCGCCTTACGGCTTACCGAAAGCACAATAGTTTTGAAACAGAATTGATCAGTTACTACTATGTTCACTATTGTGGAACATCTTTCAGAATGATCTTTCATACAACGTAGATTCTGCCTTATCAATGTAGGTGGATGATCATCAAATCTATGAGAAAGGGCAAAACATGTGCACTGGACTTGCGAAACTTCAGAGGAGTGCCACCCTAGCGACCAATTGGTATGATTCGAACCTCCTTCAGGGTAACCTGAAGAAATATCAAACGATGAGCATTCGGAATAAAAGTGTGACCTGTGGAGACAAAATGTGTCTAACTGTTAACGGCAGGGATAAAATGGAATCAAAAAATTTGAAGCTCCTTGGCGTAACGATAGATTGCGATCTTAATTTTAAGGTGCATATTAGTAATGTCTGTAAGAAAGCTAGCCAGAGAATTGGAGTGATCATGAGGTTGAGGCATCTTATACCAACTGAGGCCAAATTACACCTCTACAAAGCAGCTATTCTCCCTCATCTGCCATATTGCCACCTAGTGTGGCATTTTTGCAGAGCCTCGGACACTCGTAGATTAGAGAGAGTACAGGTGCGAGGACTGCCTGCTGTTTTTAGAGATAGGTTGTCTAGCTACCAGCAGCTGTTAGAGAAAGCCAATCTACCAACATTGTATAATACGAGACCACAAGACATTTATATTTTAATATATAAAGTTAAACATAATTTGTACCCGCGGACTATTTGTAACATGTTTTATACTAATAGCCACACTTATAGTTTACGGCAGAGAGATTTTTATTTACCTAGATTTAACACTGTTGCGTCTGGAAAACATTCAATTCGATATCTAGGCCCAAGGCTATGTAGCAAACTAACAAAAAAGAAAGATCGGCGATAAATCTCGAGCAGTTTAAGACCCACGTACGGAGGCTAGACCTAGGCAACATCCTAGATGGATGTAGTGGCAGCCATCTTTGTAACTCATAATTTTTATTTCTCTTATAGGACTTTTCTGTATATTATTTTTAGACAGTTCTAGTTAGGTGTCCCCTATTAGCAGTGTGGATTCTCCGCTGCTAGATATAATTGACACGGTAATTAATCAGTAACTTATTATTATTATTATTATTATTATTATTATTATTATTATTATTACTCTTATTATTGGGAGGGCTGTGGTTTCATCATCGTCATTCTTATGTTCCTTAATTTGTTCTTAGTGATATGATCCTAGTTGTTAAAATGTATTTCGCTTTCCAACTTCAACGCGAGCTTTGCTTCTTTCGTGATTGTAGGGCTTCAGCCACAGAGGTGTGGCTTGTGGCGGATTTTTGTCGCCCACTTTTAATCAGTAACTCAATAACTTTTTACATAATTCACTGTGTTGTGATTCTGTTACATTTGATTTTATTAAACCTGCCACAGTCGTGGCCAGATTAATCCAACACAGGTGTTTGTTCTAATGGCGGAGCTCCGGCGGCCACCAAGGGCCACGAAGCGGAGCCCCATACTCATATAGAAAAGAAAAAGAAACGCATGAGTTGATTTTCTCATGATTATCATGGCTAGCGGTATTGCTCGTAAGCGCGTACGTACGACGTCGACGGCGACGGAGTCGCGCAACTAATAAGTTGACAGAGACATGCAGCCTTGGTTTACTGTGTACTTCTTTAATTTGATATTGGACATCCATGTTATAATCAATTGACACCTGTCAAAACAAAGTATCCACTGATCAGTATCACGTGACCATATCGCGAACACAAGTTTAAAGCTCATCGAGGTCACGTGTTTTTTGAAGTTGACCGCTGGCCAAATGCTGGTTTTCGATTGGATTGCGGGCTCATGTCAGGTTCTCTTAAAACAGGACCAGATTGTTTTGAAGCCGGTTAACGCTAACCCAGGATTAAAAGTTAACCGAATTATAAGTTTTCTTCTATACAAATGTTTTTTGTTGCTTTGTTTTGTGTATATGGTGATTGTTAAAACTCAAAATAGAAGGCCAAACAATATACAGAAAACCTCACCGCAAAGTTACAAAACTCAAATCAAAATTCTACCTTTTCCTGGATTAGCTTAATCGGGCTCCGAACAACCCGGCCCAGGAGCCATGCTTTTAGGCTGGCCTAAATCTATATATTAATCTCGCATGATCGGCAAGTAACCAAGAAAGCGGAGCTCGCGTTAAGAGTTGGCCTTATTTTGGTAAAGCACATGTTTTGATATAAATATTCTTTGCATTACACATACCATTTATGTCGGAATCGTGCCAAAAATGTTCTGGTGCGTAAATGGGCCTTAATAAACCGATATGCTGACTGAGTTGAAATAAAAACGATAGACGCACTGCAGAAACAAGACCGCATCAGACAACATACATAGCCGACAATTCTACTAACCTTACATGTATGATTGAATGTAAGAAATGTAAGAAATAATGATAGGTGAGACCGCTCCGAGAACTCTTTGCAGAACACAGCCAAACAAATAGCAATCCACGTCACACCCCCGAGGTGGGAGTACTCCCAGAAAGGTTGCCTGTGGATGAGCGGCCCACTTCCTAAAACCCTTACCCTATTAATGACTAAATTCTGCGATTTTTGCTACCCTATTTATGACTTGGCCAAAACTTCGATACCCTGTTTATGACCGTTTCGGCTAGCACAGTTGCCCCAAACGCAAGTTATGAAGGTATTTTGTTGACGGTCTTATTTATATTGATGAAAAAGTAGCTTCTTCCAAGAAAAATACCCAATTCAAGACTACAGTGCTAAAACCATACCCTATTTAGGACCAAAATGGCCAAAATCGATACCCTATTTATGACCAAAACGGATGTAAAACCTCAGCCTCTAGGGCCGTACATACCTATATAGCCCATATAAGGGAGTACCTACCCCCCGGGTTCACACCACACATTACAACTTGCCATCCACTCTCTTTGTGACATGGAGCTTATTCCTCCTGAATCATAACCAACAGCCATCGACCGCCAATGCTTTCCTTCGTAAGGCACGAGAGACCTACTTGATACACAGAGGAAAAACTGCGGGGTTTTTTCCAGACGGTATTAGCCGACGCAATAAACGGTGATTTTCATCTTTATTTCATTTTACCAATGTGTATTTATCTATGGACCTATAACTGTACATCACATTTGATAACATAGGAACCGAATCATATTATACCTTCGCTTTGAGGACTAGACGTCATAGGGTTTGCGAAAATCCATGTAAGCAGTCTATGTAAGCAGTCTCAAAGGGTTGATTGGTAACCCTGTTCATTTTCCTCTGTGTAAGACAGAATCTGGAAACATTTTGCTTTATCCCCGTCAAAACAAACCACAAGTTTTTTTCCGTCCCTTGACAATGCGATTTCAACCGGGGGTGCGGCTGTTTTAATGGTCCTCACCAATGTACCATCTTTGCTATACACGTGAACAGCATAGCTGTCGCAGTCACACACCAAAATGCGTCCATTTTCACAATCAACGTCAATCCCAGCTAGATCTTCAAGCATTCCCTCTCCAATTTCTCGACGAAATTCTCCTTCCTGGCTGAAAACCTTCACACTCTTACTGTCAGCATCAGGGACAAAGAATTCCCCATCAAGGGAAACTGCCTTTTTGGGGGACGACAACTTTCCTTCTCCAAACACAGATTCTAATTTTCCGTTTACGTTGTAAATGAGAACACAAGCATCGGTTTCTGAAGCGAGCTCTTGATATCTCGGGCTTGATGTAACAAGAAAGCGTCCGGTTGAATCGTGAGACAAAAAAGTGAATTTCACTTTCGGCCTTGGAATTGTCGGAAACTTCTTCTTTAAGTTTCCACAGCGATCATAATGTAACAGAGAATTATTTTCTCTATTTAATACCACAATTTCATCGTTTGGCGAATACGTGATGTCCCAGAAGTCCCCAAATATGAACAGAAATTGGCTCAGATGATTTCCTTCGCGATCAAAAATATGTACGCGTTTATTTTCGGCATCTAAGGCCGCTATATCGCCACTTTTCTTCGACACCGTCACTGCAAACGGGAAAAAATTAGGAACATTGATTTTACATCCGTCGATATGTTTTATGACTTTTTCATTGCTGAGGCTTTCGTTAAGGCCAGCTAGTAAATGTTTATCGTTATCGAGATCTTTTTTAACGCTCACAACTCCAACAATACTCTCCACTGATTTTTGAGAAAATTCACATCTTGCAAAATTTAGTTCAAACTTGCGAAAGCACTTTCGTCTTGCTGAAAGAATTTGAACGCCAGCAACTTTAGCAAGCTCCTCTAAATGCTGCACTTGCCTCATGCAAGCACTTTTAATTCCACTTTTCTTCTTTTCAACGCTTTCAACACAATGGGAAGTCTTTGCAAGCAGATTATTTAACTTCTCCTTTTGTTTGTTGAAGGTAGTTTCGGGGTAATTGTTATTCATGTATTGATCAACTTCAACAAGCAATATCTCCTCTTGATCGCGAACCATCTTGACAGCTTCATCTGCTGCGTTGTGTATTTCTTGTTTTAGGCTCTCTGCCTGTTTCTTTATCGAATTTCGACGTGCATCCATTTCCTGAATGGCGTGTTTTAATCCCTCAAGATTTTCTTTACTTCTTTTCAGCGCCTCCTTGATGAATTCATTGTCTTTGGTATTTCTGGAAGGATTTTTTTCAATCAGTCGTGCTAGTAAATGGTTCTTTGGAAACGCCGATACACCAGCACTTGGAATGAACGACTCGACGCGGCAAACCGGACATTCGATACTGCTTAGCGTTGTCTTACTCGTCATCTCTTCTAAACATTCCTGACACACGTTATGAGCACAATTTGGTAAACATTTTGGCTCTTGAAACTCCTCCAAACAAACAGGACAGCTAACTTCGTGTTCTACAGCGGCCACGACTTCGTATAGCTTGGAAGCCATCTTCAGTTTCACTTCTACACCTGGTGAGGTGAAGCTTTCTGGTTTAGACACTCGCTATTATACCCTGACACTGGCCTCGGAAAAACTGCACCTGTTGGCTTGAAATGATTCTTCGTTTTTTTATTATTTAGCTGCGTCTGACGCGAACATTTGACATTTGCATGAATATCGCGGTTTTCCTATTATCTGCCAGACAAGGAGAGGTGCGTTAATAGTCAGTGTAAGTTGCCACCTTGTGTGGCGTACTCAACTGAATCACACCAGCATGTACAACATGCTGCTATTTCACTACACCCGGTTGATGAATATTCCTTGGTGTGGCGGTTTGCAACGCGTGTGATTAACGCTCTATGGATAATAATGACACCTTTTAAGGTATTATTTATTGCCTTATTTCAATGAATTAGTGATGTAGAGCTACCGACAGAATCAGTCGAGGATTTCTGATTTCGCAAATGTTATTTTGTCAAAAGATTGTCTCCTTACTGACCAAGAGGAATTGCAAACACTAAAAAAAAAAAACGCTCAATGGTAGTTGTATGTTATTGTCAAGTTCAAATGGTTGAAACAAACAGTTACTATTTTGAATGGCGGTGGTTTTGTGGTTTCCCTTCAAATGTTTTGGTAGCTGAGTCGGAGTGTGAGTCAGCCTGGGGTTTTCGAGATATCATAACAGAAAACAAACAGGGATAAAACCTGAATAGAAATTGAAAAGGCGTTTTACTAAAGCTAATATGTTTGAATTTGGCCCAATAATCACAGAGGACAAAAGGAATTAAGTCAGTTAAGCGCGTCAACATGTTTGAATGATTTTCATGGAATACTTACAGGTGGCTATATTAATAATATATTTTAGAAAACTCTGTAAGAAAGCGCGTGCTAAAAGCCGAGCGAGAAACCTGAATTATTCGAAATACACATTTTTCTTAATTTTTCTTTTCTTTATATTCAATATGCATCCTTATAGAATGATTTAGTTTGAAACAGATCTCAGGAAAAAAGTTTGAAATTTTCTTTTACTTAGTTCACTTTCGTGTCATGATTATTATTTATTTATGTGTCTGTTAGCTGCAAACATCAGCCTTGGCCATGGGAGGAGGTGGATCCCCTCCGGGAAGGGAAAGAGGAGCAAACCCATCAGGAGTGGGGAGAAGATTTGACCTGTCCACTCGTACTGAACTGTGCCGTCTGTTTTTGAACAATTGGTGAAAGTGACGCAATCAAAGAACACGCCATAAAATGTAACAACTGACGCACAATATAACATAAATACCAAATGCAACAACCTTTGTGCCAAAATGTAATATTAACCCGAAATGTATCAACTTTTGAAGCAAAATTTAACAATTCTTTAACGTGAAATGTAATACGTCTGTCGCTTTAGCATTCTTGTAAACCAACAACAATATCTTTATTTTCTCAATAGAAACGTCGATGAAATAAATATATGTCATTGGCCGGCAAAGAGGTCCGTATAGGGAAAAACTGTGACCGAGGTCTTGAAAACGATGCCCTCGGCCTACGACCTCAGGCAGCATTTTCAAGCCCGAGGTTACAGTTTTTCCCTATACGGACCGACCCTAAGCCGGACAATAACATGTTTATCTTTTTTTGCGGTAAATTGGCTTACAAGTGGGTTTGTTTACGCAACTTAGCTTACGCACCGTCTACAAACCATTCGTAAAAAAATCTAACGAGCGAGACAAAGAAAGATGTATTAAAGAACAGATTTCTTTCGAACTACTTTATGCTAGTTGCATTTAGTTCACCAGCTAAGTTCTCCAAAAAGTGTTTTGCCGGTGTGAAATTTCGTGCAAAGTTTGAAGTTGTACTACTAAAACAATTTCTGTCAGTTGTTACCAATCACTCGAAATCAGACTTTTCTACCGTAAATTGAGTAGCAGATAGCGAGGAAATCCGTTTAGTGTATTCCACGGAAATTCTCTCAAATTCAGCAATGATCAGAGAGGTAAACTGGACTGAAATTGACTCATTCTTTGTTACTTAAAATTGTACAGAGAGAGAGACACATAGGATTACATATGGGTTATTGACCAAGTGTGAGGTCAAGATGGCTGGATATTGCTCGACGGATTCCGCCCCCTGTGGCGGTCCGGATGAGAAAATTCCGCCCGCTCATGAGCTGAGAGAAAGATGTATGGGTTATTGACCAAGCTTGTTCGGTCAAGATGGCTGGATATTGGCCAAGTTCTTTTTTTTGCGTGTTAATAGACCGAGACGGAGTCGAGGTCCATAAACCCGCAAAAAAAGAACGAGGGCAATATCCAGCCATCTTGACCGAACAAGCTTGGTCAATAAAGGATTTATTATATGGCTTTCGGGGAAAGTTTTCTTGCGGAGCGCGGCGGATAGTCCCGAGCGGGCAAGATAGCTCCATCTTGCCCGCTCGGGTAGCCAATCACAGCGCAGGATTTGATTCATCTTGCCCGCTCACGGAGCTAGCCATATAGTAAAATGCAGTCTTACGGGTTAACTGACCACATGCGTCTTGCGTCAGAAGATGTTAAATTTTGAGTTAATGTTACATTTTGCGACAAAGGTTGTTAGATTTCGCATTCGTTGTTATATTTTGCGGCGTAGCGTAGTTTAAATATTCTTCGCTTTCGAATGGCAGCGATTTCCAGTCACACGGAAACGATCGGGGTTGCGTTTTGTAATCAATATACAGCTAGCCCTACTGTGCAACAGTTACTTGACATTCAAAGGAAGTAATGTCGACAAGCAAAGAAAACCAGCAATTCAACCAAAAATCCCTCTGAGTAGTTGACAGAAACTTTGATTTACACAGAAATAAACTGATGAGAAAACAATCCAGATCAAAAGCTCGCTTCAAGAAAACCCTCTCAGAGACGGTAAGGTAAACCTAAGGTAGGCGAGCATCAACACTATACATTAATTGCTACACCAACTCAAATACGTTTTCCGATTGGAAGAGACCGTCGTGGGTCAAACTAAGGCTGCGTTCCTTTGGGGTGATCTGGATCAGGATCAGTGATCCAAGATCACTTGGACCATGGTACCAGCGTGGCTTCACTGGTTCCTTTGATCAGACCATGATCTCAGTGATCTTGGATCACTGATCCTGATCCGGATCACCTCAAGGGAACGCAGCCTAGCTCTCTAGGGCGAACACAACTCACTAACTCCCTAGCGAAACAACAACGTGAACTTTCGACTCGCACGTGTTCAGGTCCTAAGAGTGCCAGCATCATAATTTTGTGAATACTTGGGAGATTTTTATGAATTTTTTTCCACGAAAATTCTCGTGTAGAAATTTCTTCATTGAAGTAAAAAATTTGTGACCCCACCCTATCTAAGACATGGTTTACCAGCCCGACAAGTTTACAGTTTCGTTTTTGAGATGTAAATGGAATGCAAGACTTGTTTCACATCAAGTTATGCACTAACTTGCTGTTCGCCTTAGGGGTAAAAAGAGTTAAAACCGCGGCAAATTTGTTGTGCCAGCTGGCGTCAAGCAAATAATTTTTTCGCAGTTTTTTTTTTCCCTTTTTTGAGTAGGGAAGTATAACAAAACACTTAATGACTAGCCCCACGGGAAACGGTGAGATTGTTTCCCCTCGACCTCAATGTTGAGGGTCTCGGGGAAACAAAACTCACAGTTTACGTTTTGCGCATACACTATTCCAATCGCTGGCTGTCCCGAATTATTGCTGGCCTATTGTGCATGCCAGGCTGATCAGGCTGCTGTGTCAACAAACATATTGAAGAGCGTGAATTAAAAATATCAGCAATCTCTTTATTAGAATATTTGTACACTTAAAAAAAATAGTTTTAACATTATTTTAAAAAAACTTGTTATCACATGCCTGACAAAATATCTCCATTCTGATTGGTTTGGAGTCAATGCATATATTACAGTTATAAGTACTGACTGTCTGTAACAGAAGACATCAATAATTTTCGAATGTCTTGGACAACTAAGATATCCAGAAATGATCCGGAAATTTACAAAGGTATCCGAAAACCACAGAAGCATCCGTAAATATAATGTCAAAACAATAGCACAAATGCTCCATTTCATCATTAAGACCACAACTACCAAAATCAATTATTGCTTTTACTTCATTGTTTAAATTTCTAAACCACACTGGAGTTTAAATAACAAATAACAAATAGCCCAATTACCATGCAGGGTTCGTACACTTTTTTCAGGAAATTCATAGCAGAAAGAAAAAGTGAAGGACTGTGGTAGTTACGGTCAAGTGACGCCATCATCACGTGGTCTTTTCCAATTACTTTTCCAAGATTTGAAACATTTCTACAGGCTTCAAGGTTTATTCCACTACACTGGACTCTAGGAATTTGAAAATACTTAATAGAACCCAAGAAGACATTATAGTTGAGGAAATCTGTCAGCCGTGATTAATTTACAAGGATATGACTTGCTTGTGTAATTAAACATTTACACTGTAACTCTAAATGTACTGTATAAGTTATTGACAGCTGTAAGCACAAGGAACAGTTCACATGTCGATATGCAGTACTCACACTATACAATCAACGTCTATTCTGAATTGTTCTCATGTGCGTTACTATATAATAATATATTGCTTCTTACAATATTTATAACTGGTATCACACAACAAAATTAGTTTAGCGCCGACTAGCAGGCAGTCTACTATCTTCTTGAGTAAAGCTTTAACTAGAAAAACGGCTAGGTCAGGGGTCACCAAAAAAATTCAAAAACGTGACTTGTGTTTAATGAAATAGCCGTTTTGACTGTTGCTTTTTGTGACGCATTCATGGACCATAAGCAAAAGCAACTCGTTTGAAATGTTCACTGCAATTATTGATTAATTATTAAGATGGTTTTTAAAATCGACTTTTGAAAACAAGAATATTACTTAATCTCAGGAAGTTCATGAAACGTTTCCACTGACTGAACATATTACTGCCTTCCACCAGCATATGTTGGATTCTCAAAAGTAGTTTTCGCAGCTTGATAAAGGGGATTTTTTTCCTGAAACAAGAACCAAAATCGCTTCACATAAGAAAGGAATCAAAAGAACCACTGGCCAGCAGGAAAGACGGTAGATACAAAGCAAATTACTTCAGAAGTTAATGAACATCATTCCAGAAAGAATCATTTGAGAGACATATGTCTACTTAGCGTTCATACGTTTTGATTTCACTCATCAGCATTTAAGAAATGGAGGAGTCAAGAAATATCACTAGCAAATCAGTTTTTTTACTTTGACTTTTCCCTTCGACATTTCAAACGTGAAGCATTAATTTATGAGTCATAAGCGTTTACCTTGGTCCATCTGGAGTGCATTCGTTCTCGTTCAAACTTTTGGTATTCAATGCGATCCTGAAACAAAATAAAAACACAACTTCCTTAAAATAATGAGACTAACTATTTAACAGTTTACATAAAAACGTCGTCTTAATCGGGAAGATTTGAAGAAACTATGTTACAAAAAGAGACAACATACCACCATAGTGAAAAAGGCTTTGATGAGTGCTAAAATAACAAGACCAAGAAGTAATATTCCACCGACCACACCCACAACAATCCACATGATGGGCGCTTCCTCAGGGCAACTCACTGAAGTTAGCAAATAAACAAGAACAGTTTGAATTAAACAAGGTACACAACTAAGTTTGCACATCTTGCAAACGTTGGGAAGTTCTACAATTTTAAGGACTTTAATTTCGACTTTTTCGCTCCGCAAACCATCAAGGACTAAGGAATTTCAATTTTTTCTGACAATTGTTTTATTACTTTCTAGTTTAATGTAGACCTTTTCCATTTTATTTTATTTGCAATCGTTTTGTACACGACCCCACAAGCTAAAAACTTTGATATATAATCGTGTATAAATAAAGGTTAAATGTATTTATGCATCTTGATTATTAGAACTTTATTCCCTTTAAGGAAGCTCTCAACATAAGTCAAAATTTGGTTTTCTTGGAAAGGTGTAGGGTGGAGCAGATCTCTAATCGGTGCGATATAATTACCGGAAATATTTAACGTTTCTCCTTCTTATGTCATGTAGCTCACTCTAACATTAGTTGAACATCAAACTTTGACTAAATTTGGCACTGTATAATGTTTAGCTCTGTCGTAAATCAAAGCCCATTTAAAGATCAATTAATCGTGAATAAGCAAACTGCAGTGTTACCTTTTTCTTTCTGAACAAAAAGAACAAAACGTTCGCTGTTTTCTTCTGTCTGAGTTGTAAAGTAGTATGTGCATCCATCGACGGCTCCCTCACATCGATACAGTCCTTCATCTAAACAAAAACAAATCATTGACTCCCTATTCAAAGTGATCGCAACAAGTCACCAGTTGTCACGTAACACAAACCAATCGTGACTTGATATACCCGCGTCTTCTCACCCTTGGCCCCCGTTCATTGGCCGGAGTTGTTTATGTTAGTGACAATGCCTACATGTGATTAGCCCATATTTTGTTTCGAGTTTTAAGATGGTGAGTACAAAAATTTTCTTCAAGAATTAAAACATATTAACAGTGTTCTTGCTGGCAGTTTAGCCCCGAACCGGCTGACATTGCTGTTATGTTATCAAAGCTTCGCGCAAACCTGTCCAAAGGCAAAATACACGAATTTCGTCGATAACGGATTTCAACTAACCTGTCTTTGTTTTGATATCATCCACGACCTGGACTTCCAGAACATTAGCTTCACAACTTCCACTCTGTTTACACTCCTCTAAGGATTTCCCTTCAAATGTTGAACACAGAGCACATTTTTCATTGCGGCTACACATGCCATCTTCACAGTTCTGTAAGACAAGGTTATCTTTCAATCAAACTGTAAACCTTTTAAGTCATTAATTATCCTAAACATCATGTACCTTACGAAAAGAAAATTTAAAATGGCCAGTAGCGAGTAAGATTGTTTGCTTTGATACAATTAACGTGATTCCCAGTCTCTTTTATTTTTATATTCAGTATCTGGACATTCCATTTCTCATTAGTGTAGTACGTCAATCAATTTCTTTTGTGTAAGGTGGACTTGCTTCCTCTCTGGGTGCCTGGTCACAACCTAAACCTGCTGATTCAGGCTCGTTCTGTTCTTGTCTGGTCGTCACATGCTTGCTTGCTACCAGCTTTTCTAATCGCCTCATGAAACCGCAATATCTGTCTTGATAGGCTAATTATGCATTTCTGCTACTTAAATTTCTAGCATTTGATGCCCACTTCTGATTGGCCAAACCCAGATAAACGTTTGCGACAAGAAGCAAGTAAGGAGATGGCTCGAGAGAAATTAGACAACAAAAAGACAGCACTTGCGTTGTAGGATTCTTCCATTTTGCTACCTTAAGTTTGAGGGCTATAATCTGATGACTTACTGGACATTTCTCACAGTAGGTACCATCATACGCACTCTTGCAGACACACTTGTGACAGTTTTCTACATCTGCTTCACACGTGCCTCTGTCAGAACCTCCACAGATTTCCTGTCAAGTCAATACAACAAAGCCTTCATGTTAGAATCACGAGCCATGTCTCACCTTGCAAGCGGAACATAATAATCGCGTGACTACAGATAAAGGCTTGTGATACTAACCGAATCTGCATCCTTCTTGCATTGTGTTTCGGGGGGAAAAAATGTACAGTTCTTTTTGTCACAGTTATCGCCATGATACTTGGGCTTGCACTGGCATTTACGGCAACGGCAAACTCCACGATCAGGACCTAAAACATACAACAAATCAGGTTTTATTTAACAATTACAATCCCGCTCGTCCCGCTCGTCGTCCGCCCGCTTTTTCGATTGTCGCCACTGACCGAGAGCCTGGAACAGGCTACAGTTACAGTTTATTTTCATTTAATAAAATAAGATGAGAGAACGAATCAGATTCGCAGATTTCTAATAGAACACACTTGTACTTGTACTTTTACGTTTGAAAAGAAGCTTCTGAAATCCATTAACGGGTAACGTGTTATGTGTTAAATGTCAAACAATGATTCATGTAATAAGTTGCATGACTAGCTGTGCCTAGCTGTTAGCCTGTACATACATATTTTCATTGAGTATTTTTGCTGTACTTACAACTGATCCTTACCTCCACACAATTGGCCTTTATCTTCAGGACAAGAGAAGTCATTACACTGGCACAAGTCTCCATAAAACCTTTTCCCTTGCTCCTAAAATACATTGTAAACGGACAAATATGTTATACCATCGACTTGGCTAATTAAACAGCATATACGCCATTACAGCAAATTCATCTAAGAAAGAAGTAATAACATGAAGTAACTTTCATTCTTAAAAAGTGGATCATTAGATAATGCAATTCAGGATTTTTCACTGGCTTAGCCATCATGGGTTATGAGCCATTATACCATGCTCTACAAATATGGTAAGCATACGAGTGATTTTTTGGGGCGTTTTTATTTTAATTTTAATTTAGTTTCCTATATTTTGGGGGCGTTTTTAATAATTAAAAACAATTATTCCACTCGCGCATGTTCAATATGAGATGATTTTAAGCAACTCGGCGCCACGTGCTCTTTCATCTCATATCCAACACGCACGAGTGGAATAATTGTTAAATAGCCAGTGAAATAAAGAGCATGTATAAGTTGTCCTCACCGCTTTGCACACACACTTTCCACAAGCACACTCTCCGTTTCCACTGCATAACACCTCATCTGTAGCGTTGGGAGAACTAAAAGACAATAACATGGTAAGGTTTCAAATGTAAGACAGAGGATTCTATTTCAAGTTTTTCAACCACGCGTACGACAAGTGAGGCGAGTGATGCAAAGGCCGCGTTTATGGCGCGAATGTTGGCTTGCTTTTTCGGAGTAAACTTCAATTAAATTACTCTCTTCTTCGGCATAATTTCCTTAAACTGTAATATGAAACCTTTTGCACAGAAAAGACGTAAATAATGGGTAGAATCATGGTAGAATTAGTCCCTTTTTCCAAACTGTCCACGATGTATACTTTTTGATTTGTTGATTCCTAACCTGGGTTGAGTTTAACAACAATTCTCTTCAATCCCCCTGCTGAAGAAGGGCTAAGCCCGAAACGTTTAGTTTATCAGAACAAATTTGACACTTTTCAGAGCATTTTAGCCTTATAGACAACTTTTCGGCAGTGTCATGTATTGTATGAGTTTTTTGCTCATTCCTATTGAATTCTCTTCTTTAGTTTACAAACATCAAGGTCCATCAAGCAACGAGCTTCCAACAGAGCGTTAATAAAACACCTTTCCCTTCTTAAAGTGCACCTAATGAATCTACATGTTAATTGAAATACTTCTGCGAAAAAAATTTTGGATTCGGTTAAATCCTCGATTTTCTGTGCCCCGACGAAATCTCGAAAATAGCCCCAAAACACCGCCATTTTGTTTCACGACCGAGCTTGAGGAGAATGGGTCCAGCGGCAGTTGTGACGTCTACCCAGGAAGGTCGAATACCTCACGTCCTCTCATTTTCTTCAGGATAGAGCAATACACATTCGAAAAGTGTACAGAAATGCCTTCCAGAAGTGCTATCGGCTGTTGCAGCAATATCTCAGATCTAAAAAAAGATATCCTGTACAATTTACTGGCGATGATCGGTCAATAGAGCAATGAAGACATAAACGATGGTTGATTTTGTCGAACCGAAACAAGCGGACTGAGTCTGTGAGAACCATTGAAGAGCTCTCACTGGAATTTGTTCCGCAGACTTTCAAACGCTATTTTCAAAATTTTCTGATTAAAGCCAACCAGCAATTTGTCGAAATACTACCAACAACCTATATCTTNATGATAACAAAATTGTTACACTCACAGAGTTTTTCGAAGGTTTGGAAATCAGCAGTGCGATAAACATTCTCTACAACAGTGTCGAAAATATGACCGCGTAACATTATCTGCGGACCGGTTAGGGGAACACATCCATTTCGCTTATCCGACGAATTTTATTGCAAACTTTGAGAAAAATTTACATTGGTTATTTGGAGTTACGACTTAAAACGTGAGACAATGTGAAATCGGTGATTGTATGAAATGTTTCCTTCCGCCTTTGCTTCCCGCAGCTTCAAAAATACAGTTCCAAACAATTCTACGATTTTCAATAGATCGAAGCCAGTGTTTTGGAGGTCATCAAGTCTCGAAAACTGCAACACTTACGTCGCTCTAATAAACATGAAGCAATCCAGAAAGTAAAACACAAACTGGATTTAATAGAACAACCATACCTTGACAAAATACATTCTTGCTAAGGACAAACGTAAACGGGCTATAAACACGCGTGGGAGTCTTGTGTTTAGGTGACGACATCCAAAGCAGTCCTTGAGTTTTCTTTCCTGCTTTTCGTCTGCGTGCTCCTCCACTTCGTATCTAGCTTTCCATTCCTAACATACAAGCAGCTCGTCCCCAAAGAAGTCTTCCCCGTCGTCCCTTGAAATATTGCAAATTGTTCTCAAAGCTCTAAGTAGTGGGTTCACAGTTGTCGAACGTGCTCGATCGAAGTTTATTTCGGTGTCTTCCGCATCGAAACCTAACTCTGACTCCAGTGACGAAAAAGAAATGATTCTGAAACAAAACTTGGACGTTTTAGCCCCAAAATATATTGGAACGATTAGTTTTGTTTCCGTTTACTCGAGCAAATACAAAGAGCTGGCTGAGGCGTCATTGTGTTGGGTGTCTGGAAAACCCGAATAGCGAATAGCGAATAGCGAATAGTCCCGAATAGTGCGAATAGTCTCGAATAGTGCGAATAGTGGCGACCAGTCGCGAAAAGTGGCGAATAGTGACGAATAGTCGTCTATAGTCACCGCTATAGATCTAATATCCAGCGTTAATAAATTATCCAAATAAA